AAACTAGTTGGGATGACCACCCACCCCCACGACAGGGTATTTCAGGTATTATTTGAGGTATCTGAGGTACTACTTGAGTTACCACACTTGTGGTGTCACAACACACGACCAAGAACCAACATCTTACTCACCGCTACATTAATATGCACAACACTCGTGAGGTGACTTAAGTCTCGCTCTCCCAAAACCCGAACTATGGTTGTGAACTGCCTGCCTAAAGTCCCATTCAATCCATGCATCGAGTGAAGGTTCCTTGATGACGAATGTGAAGAATCCCCTGTCATCCACAACACAATATATCACTGTCAGTTGTCCAGGTGAAAATAATATCCCTGAAAGGGGTAAGCCCGTGTAACAACGTCAGAACCTGAAGAATTACCTTTGGAACGAAACACCTTTGTATGTTCAGTGATGTGGCATAACAATGTATATTCTGAAACTCTCATTAATAATGATACTTTTCGAACACCAGGTATAATATAGCTCAGTAGATAATTCTTGTGTACAGCTATCACCAGCGCTGCTCAACTGTATTCAATTATGTATATTTGATTTATCAGCTGATACTCGTAGTTCAAGGAAACATAGAGAGATGAATTTAACCGATATTTTCTACTTTAACAAGATGTCTCTTTCTTACTTTAGTTCAATTCCTAATGGTTATAATCATAACAATTATTTTTAATGGGGTGGACTGGTAAGCCAGTGGAAGGCCTCAGGCAGATGGCCAAAAGCTCCAGTGGCGGATCTGGAAACACTTGCTCCGTTTCCTGACAAACTTACCTAACCTAACCTGTTAGGATACTAGTAACACGGTTTTTAAATTTCTCACTACACACTTGTACACAGAGATATATTTCTTTCAGGTCAGTACAGGTCTAGCACAGGTCATTGAAAGATGCTGCTAGGTGAACCAGGTCTAGCACAGGTCATTGAGAGATGCTGCTAGGTGAACCAGGTCTAGCACAGGTCATTGAGAGATACTGCTCGGTGAACCAGGTTTAGCACAGGTCATTGAGAGATGCTGCTAGGTGAACCAGGTCTAGCACAGGTCATTGAGAGATGCTGCTAGGTGAACCAGGTCTAGCACGGGTCATTGAGAGATGCTGCTAGGTGAACCAGGTTTAGCACAAGTCATTGAGAGATGCTGCTAGGTGAACCAGGTCTAGCACAGGTCATTGAGAGATACTGCTCGGTGAACCAGGTTTAGCACAGGTCATTGAGAGATGCTGCTAGGTGAACCAGGTCTAGCACAGGTCATTGAGAGATGCTGCTAGGTGAACCAGGTCTAGCACGGGCATTGAGAGATGCTGCTAGGTGAACCAGGTTTAGCACAAGTCATTGAGAGATGCTGCTAGGTGAACCAGGTCTAGCACAGGTCATTGAGAGATGCTGCTAGGTGAACCAGGTCTAGCACAGGTCATTGAGAGATGCTGCTAGGTGAACCAGGTCTAGCACGGGTCATTGAGAGATGCTGCTAGGTGAACCAGGTCTAGCACAAGTCATTGAGAGATGCTGCTAGGTGAACCAGGTCTAGCACAAGTCATTGAGAGATGCTGCTAGGTGAACCAGGTCTAGCACAGGTCATTGAGAGATGCTGCTAGGTGATCCAGCATCATACAAGTGTGTCCATGGTATAGCTGCTCTGTACAACCAGCTTTCATTAAAACTACAAACCTCTTCACCTCTACCCTTTACTGGTGAGGAGTTAAGATGCCAACTCTGAGCTAGGCTTTGGAAGCCTAGTAGTGGGACAACAGGCAGGAAGACCAAGACATACAAATTTCAATGGAAATTCTTTTCACTCAGTGGAACACTGATGAAACCTTGACAACACTCTGAGACGTTAATCTACGGCCTGACACTGACCACAAAACTGTGCATATTCAGCAAGCTTTCCATTGATTACTGGTATTTCACAATGTTATTTGTTTGTCTATCCTTGGCTGACATTTATCTTACATTTCTTTGACTTTCTGATTTTCTGAATCATAATTAAAATGCAATGGTAGTGTAAATCCAGTCTTAAATTACATTTCAGAAGTTATTTTTCCAGCACCACGAATAACTACACAGTTACACAAATAACCCGTAGACAGGAGAGAGGAGCTTACCACGACTTTTCGGTCCGTCTTGGACTATTTATAGTCACATTTGGACTATTTACAAAGTTATTGTGACTTTGTAAATGGTCCAAGTCGGACCGAAACGTCTTTATAAGCTCCTCTCTCCTGTGTCCGGGTTATTTCTGCATTGTTCCAGTCACGGTATTGTGCCTTTTTTGTTCTTTCTACATAGCTGTTAGTCAAGGTCTCCAGAATTAAAAGTCAGACAATTCTTCTAGTGACGAGAAATTTGTAAAACTTCTGGTAGCAAATTAGTTCCAAAAATGTGAACTGCTTAAAAGTTTCTCCCTTGACCAGGTGTATACTTTATCTCTCTCTCTCTCTCTCTCACAGTGAGCAGCGGGTGTCTGCTAATTACAATTCACAATACGTGAGAAGAATGAGAGTAATTTACTTGAGGCTGCGACCTCCCACGAGCGCCACACACATCTTTCTTTTACACATGCTAACCCACTTAAAAAACTCTGTTTTTTACCTCCATTGTCCGTGTATCAAGTGGAATATGATAGTCCACTTAACACGATATATATGTGCAGTAAGATCACAGTAAACAGGTGATATCACAATATGGAGAACAACCACTGTGGAAGAATAGTGAAATTCCAAGTGCTTTCGTGGCTTCTCAGATTATCAAGAAATTTCACTGTTTTTAACAGTGGTTGTTTCGCTCGATATGTTATTAATATTCCAAGGAGAACTAGCCAGGAATCACAGCTAACTCCTGCTCCCACTGTCTAAATATCACATAGAACAAGGTAGCAGCACGTTGCTGTTGTATCTAACATTAAAATAAAAGGGAGACTGACACAACCACTTTATAAACATCTTTCCGCCAGAGATAAGATGAATACCTCACTATCTGACTAGTACACTAAGTGACGCTATAATCATCTTGATAAGACAAACGGAAATCCTGCTCCTCAGGGCTACTTCAGGAGATTAAGGAATATTGTAATTCTGGAACAAATCTCATTACCTTCCCTTCCCCAGGAGAGGCTATTTCGAGACTCAGCTCCTGGCCCCGCCAGGGGTGTGTGTGTGTGTGTGTGTGTGTGTGTGTGTGTGTGTGTGTGTGTGTGTGTGAACCTTTGATGTGTATAAAGCTTGTACGAATAATACCTCACCTACAAGGGTCGAGATTCAGCTCCTGGCCCCGCCAGGGGTGTGTGTGTGTGTGTGTGCGTGTGTGTGTGTGTGTACTCACCTATTTGTGGTTGCAGGGGTCGAGTCCTAGCTCCTGGCCCCGCCTCTTCACCGGTTGCTACTAGACCCTCTCTCTCCCCGCTCCATGAGCTTTATCAAACCTCGTCTTAAAACTGTGTATGGTTCCTGCCTCCACTACGTCATTTTCTAGGCTATTCCACTGCCTTACAACTCTATGACTGAAGAAATACTTCCTACTATCTGTGTGTGTGTGTGTGTGTGTGTGTGTGTGTGTGTGTGTGTGTGTGTGTGTGTGTGTGTGTGTGTGTGTGTGTGTGTGTGTGTGTGTGTGTGTGTGTGAACCTTTGATGTGTATAAAGCTTGTACGAATAATACCTTTCCTTTCATTTTTCTATTTCTATCAGAATTATTCCCAGGGGCACCACCGGCACCAGAAGCCTCGGGGAATTAAAAAGGATTTCCCACAGGTAAGACGAAGCTAACAGACTAAACCGTAAAAAGCTTCACCTTGTAAAGCCTCGAACCGTATCAAGTGTCCTCCGTGTAAAGCTCCTACCGTGTAAAGCTCCTACCGTGTAAAGCCTCTACCGTGTAAATGCCCCGAGGGCGAGAACCCCTTTTTGTAAGTAATTCATTCTTATAACAGCCTTGTTAACACTTTTCTGAAAGCTAAAACGAGGCAAGATGCGCCACTCAAAATTTCTTTGAGAGATGGACATTATCCAGCTTACTCGTGCTCTCTGACTGACCAAGACGGATGCTACAAGAAGTTTTCTGAGCCGCTTTCAACCTGCTCACTAGAATTACAGAACAGTATTGAGTGAATGGAAGCATTGGAACTCAGGAGAACTTAGCGCCTCGCACGAATGTAGTATGGTGAATGAGGAGACGGGACATGTGTAGAGATATATTTACATTTTATGCTGGTTTCCAAATATTTTATGAATTTTTAATGGGTTGGCTGGTTGCTGTGTGTCACTGTTGCTGTACTGGGGGGCGGGGGTGATGGTTGTTGGGTAGTGTTGGTGGTGGTGATGATAGTGGTGGTGATGATAGTGGTGGTGCTGGTGGGATGGTAGTATATTAGACGATATATCAGTCCACCAGCTGGGCTGGTGGACTGATATATCGTCTGAGTGGTGAGTCTGGTGCCGCTCTCAGTGATGTCTGGAGTGAAGACATGAGTGGTGAGTCTGGTGCTGCTCTCAGTGATGTCTGGAGTGAAGAAATGAGTGGTGAGTCTGGTGCTGCTCTCAGACTGTTATTGCTCTGGAAGGTTGAACATTAGATCTCCTAAAATTGCTTCAACAACTGGCAGATATTGAGTTAGACTTGCCAATACCACCAGTCCGCGGTCTCACTTGTCTCAGGTACACAAATGTTGCATGTCTGAGGTCGATTTGAAGAGGCATGCTTAAATTATTGAATGGAAACGCTGCGATGACGAGGAAGATGAAAACAGAAGAAATATAAACTCACTGAACATAGCATTTCAGATCCATCATCACGATATTCTCGATTACTTGTTATAACTAATTTCCAGTCTATTTGTTCACTACATTTTTCCACATGTACAGTGTCTCCCATCATATCTACATCATCTTGAGCTCCCATGCCTCTCTCACTGCAAATAAACTATCTAATCATTATCATGTCGTATCTCAACTCTCTCCTCACCATGTATTTAACCCCGGGTCTCTCCTCCCGTAGGCTGGTCGTGTGGGCGTGGTCCTGGTGCTGGTCTGGGCATGTTGGTCTGGCATTGGTCGGGTTTTGGCCAATCACAGCCAGTGTGACGTGCAGGCCCTCCGCTGTGACGTCATCTGCGCCTTTCCTGACCTCGACCTTCACTGTAGCCGGTGCATCAGGAGGTCAGTGAGCCAACGTGACGTCACTAAGTCACGTAGGGCCAGGCACTGGTAGGGTTAAAGGCCAATAGTTGGAGGTATCGATCATGTGGGATTAAATAATCAAGGTTAATGTGGTCAGGGTTTTGCTATGACTAGGTTACTAAGTGGGGGTCAAAAAGCTTATTTACTCATCATTTGGGACCGATAGACAGTTAAATTATATTACTGGTACACAATATACAACTAGTAAGATATGTGCAACAGTAGGGTATGTTTACCTCTCCACTGCTTCTCTTACCTCCAATATTTACTCACCTCTGTATTCACCTGTAGAGCAGTGGAAGGTTTCCACAGTAAGATACTCAACTGTTGCACATGTGACCCAAGAGGTACTGAACCTGTGTACAAGAGCCAGGTAGTACCTGGGGTCAGAGCCAGGTAGTACCTGGGGTCAGAGCCAGGTAGTACCTGGGGTCAGAGCCAGGTAGTACCTGGGGTCAGAGCCAGGTAGTACCTGGGGTCAGAGCCAGGTAGTACCTGGGGTCAGAACCAGGTAGTACCTGGGGTCAGAGCCAGGTAGTACCTGGGGTCAGACATTAACGAAGCTGTCACTGGCAGTTACGTATCAGGAATTCTGTGATTTTTTTTTTCTAGAAGATTTTAAAAATATAATAATCTCACAAACTTTTAGTATAATGTATTTTGTATTTGTATTTACTAGGAGAGTAGAAGACATAGAATACTCAAAATAGCCTCAAAGAGAAATCTCAGAATATTTTTCATTGAGTGTTTTTTATCTACATTTCTGAGGTTATGGGTCCCCGTACCTACACATAGAGGAGGACCTCATCCTTTATGTAAATAAAAATAACTTTAAACATTCTCAATATCGTAAAAATAAGAGATAGTAAAATCAATATTAACAAAGGCTTAAGACTAGGCTGGTATCATGGCTGTATGTTAGAAACATTGTTACAGTTGAAGGAAGTATTTGCTATGCTGCAATGATACAATGTTCATTTCATTCTTAATGCTGTGTTTACTATCATATAATAGTGAGTAATTATAAACAAAAACATTTAAATGCTGTTCACTTTTTATCTCCCTGTATACAGACTAAGGGGGTCTTTTTTCTTCTTGTTACGGCTTGAGGTGGAAACAACGGCCAGTGTGACGAGCGTCACGACTCTAATCACTTGGCTAAGAAAGTTGATCAGCGACACATTACATTTCTGTGTTTAACCGCGTTCTCTTTCTGTTTCCCAGACGACCCATGAGGTTTGGTAAAAGAAGTGAAGTCCTGAAAACATCCTCTGATGGGTCGTTAAGTGAGCAGCAACACGATGTACTGAAGGTGTCTTCAGATGGGTCGTTAAGCGAGCCACACGGTGTATTGAAAACGTCGTCAGATGGGTCATTAAGTTATCCCAACGGAATACTGAAGGCGTCATCAGATGAGTTGTTCACTGAGCCACTAAACACAAGGATCTCGAGTCTAGGACAGGCCCGTCTTCATACCATTAAGAGACATGATATGAAGTCCACCTCGGCCAGTAACACGAAGCAGCATACAAGACCAGCGGAACGGGAAAAGCAGCCTGCCGTACTACTCAACTGCTGGTCTTAGCCACTTTGTCAACAAGATCTGGAATCACTCTATTAAGAAAACCGTAGCTCCGAGACACTCACGAGACTCTTACAACACCGACCTCCTACACGGGCGCTATCCGCATGACCAGCAAGATAAGTTAGGCTTGAACAGTGATGATTCTGTGGACATGGACTTCACTACTCGAAGGAAGCGTCGAAGTACCTCCACCTTTTTCGACTTCATCGGCATCAGCAGGCGAAGTAATAGTGGCCACGGCACTAAGTTCCCCGAGGCGATGAGGATTAAGAGATCAGAAGCTCACGAGGTAGTGGAAGGACTCATGGAGCTGTTGGGTCTTGAGGAGCTGCCAGTAGATCCAAGAATCTACGGTTGCCACGAGTTACTTCCTGTCTTCGACTAGTCCCAGCGTCTCCGTTCTTCCTGCCGAAATATGCTCAACATGCGTAAATTTGTAGTGTAAAGCTGGCGTTGTTTGTACATTGAAAATAATATAGAAGTCCCATTCCCATTGACATAGTAATATAAGCGTGAAATCAACCGTACAGTTTGTTTCTGTACCTGTTGTTGGAATCTTTAGTTAGGCACGAAGGTGGATAAATGTGTATATTGTTAAAATTGCAGTACTGACTGAAGGCTGACTTAGGAACTTAGAGAGCACAACACTGATCACAGGATCATCAAAGATACTTCTGTAATCGCTGTTATGGATCAATGTCCTCCGCATACTTAGTAAATCTCTTGCAATAACATTTTCATCCGGGAGCTATGATAATGTATTTTATTGGATAGTCACAATTTCTTGCACAAATATTTAGTGGTTACTCAAAAGAGTTCAGCATTTTGTAAACGTCTCGGAAAACTCTTCTCATTTATGGGTCCTAAAGTCATGCTGAGACTACTGATAACCGACCTTAGTGCTGTCATTAACTAAAAAAAAAAATTGTCAAGAAAGAATTACTTATTATTGTAGGGGCAGTAAAACATATTTAACTAAAAAAAAAAAAAACGTACAAAACTAGCTGCTCTCTAATTTGATCATCTAGGTTTGAATATCAATATATAGTTTATGTTTTGCTCATCTGCGAGTAACCGGAAGTAAAGAAGGAGGATAACGTAGCACAGACAATACATCAACTTGATGGCCACAAGTTGAATCAGATAGCATGGATTCTGATTGTGTATGAGTAACTGAGAGGATAGGAGCAGAGATTCGTCCCCCCAGTAACCATACCTAGGCGAATCCAATCAGGCATCATCAGCATGCACGTGGTTACAGTGGTTCCTCAACATGACTGGGCACTGAGGCTGGCTGAGAAGGGGTTTCCGACGTTCAATCTCAGCCGTGGCCGACTCTCTTTACTGAGGGTTCTCCAAGCTGTAAGACACTTGACGCTACTTAACGTGGAACTTCCCTAAAGCGAAAGAAGCCGGTCCTTAACGTGATTTTTACCACTTGTTGCTTCCTGCATTCTTCCTGTTTCCTGTTCCAATATTGCTAAATAACTTTGCTAACTGGTCCTTCCTAGAGACTATCGTCAACTGGAGCGTAGGGTAATGAGAACAAATATCAGGTGAAGATTGGAATGAACGCTTTGCTGGATATTTCAACCAGCGACTGATCACCTGAAGACGACTAATATGTGTATATATGATGGTGTAGTTACAATGGTGTTCGTATTTCAGTGTGGCGAGCCAGAATGATGAACTGGAGGAAGAGGGCTGAGGAGGAGGGTAATGAGAGAGAGAAGAGAGGTAGAGAGAAAACTGAAGAGAAGAAAATAAGCTTAGGAGTATGAAAGAGAGAGAGCTGAGGTGATCAGCATCAGGCTGTCTGCTATCACTGTCACGATTTGTAAAGGAAAATCACTGACGGTGTACACACCCGTTGATAACACGGTCAGTAATGAGGAAAGAACACTCACCCCCTAACAACAAAGTTGCTCACAATAACTTAAACTCTCACGTGAACCGTGGTCTTGATTTCCAAATACAAACCAGTAATAACTTCAACATAAAGTGGGGGAGAGAGGTATGGCGGCTCCTCAGGATGAACACATTATTGCATTATGAATCTTAAGGTTGAAACTTCCCTAAAAATCTTAGAAGAAAACAATGGCTAGGGAAAGGAATATTTTTATAATCCAGAGTCCACAATCTTTCAGAGTTTGAAGAAAACGTCCTTAAATTTTCTGTAATTGGTATTTGTGTAAAATAATACATGAAAATAAAATTTCAGCATATAAGCTCACCTTTGTTAAGTATTGACCTAGCATGTGTAATGTAAGGTTAACATGGCGGTGTAAAGCATAGTAATAATGCTGTACCGTTGGCATGATGGAACTGTCTTCAGGGACAAAAGTGCTATATAATATCGACACGATGGATAAAAAATTAATGTATTTGTGACTTGATAAAGCCCACTGCGTGGGCGAAACGTTGTCAATAAATGCTCGCATTATACTGTATTTGTGTCCTTTTGTTTTCCATAATGATCCAGTGCACGGGTTATGGTATTTATTTTAATATATGAGTCAGAGACTTTAACAATTCATACAGAAACAAGAAATACACGAGACCTCATCCAGTCATCCCCTCTGGTGAGGAAGTGAGTTCTGAGGTGATGTCAGTGTCAGGTTTACCTAATACCTAGTTCGCTTAGCAGCTTCTTCACCTCCTCCTCGGTTGTATGTATCGTGTCCAGCACTTGTTGGTGCACCCCACCTCTCCGACTTTGCAGAGTCCCTTCTGTCTCCACTGTGAATACTTCTTTGAATCTCATGTCGAGCTTCTCATATACTTCGTTTCTTGTAGACTCCCCTCCTTCTTCCTTCCTTCCTCAGCCCGATTACCTAGTCTTTGTTTTCTTCCTGATGTGGCTGTACAACAGCATAGGGTCAGACTTGGCTTTCACTATGTCATTTTCGTATTGTCGTTGGGCCTCCCTCCTTACCTGTGCATATTCATTTCTTGCTCTTCGACTACTCTCCCTGTTCTCCTTGGTCCTTTGCTTTCTATATTTCTTCCATTCTCTAGCACACTTGGTTTTAGTCTACACCTTTGGGTGAACCAAGGGCTCGTCCTGGCCTTCTCATTAAGTCTGTTGCCCTTGGGTACACACCTTTCCTCATCTTCCTTGCATATTGTTGTCACATGTTCCATCATCTCATTTACTGTTTTCCCTGCCAATTCTCTGTCCCACTTGGCCTCGTGCAGGAAATTCCTCATGTCTGTGTAGTCCCTTCTCTTGTAGTTTGGCTCCATCCTTCCTGCTTCCCTCTCCACTTGTAACTCTACTATGTATTCGAAACCTAGAACCACGTGATCACTTGCTCAAAGGGGCTTCTTCATATATAATGTCCTCAATATCTAAACTGCTCAAGGTGAATACTAGGTCCAGTCTTGCTGGTTTATCCTCTCCTCTCTCTCTGGTAGCGTTACTAACATGTTGATGCATGAGGTTTTCCAGTACCACCTCCAACAATTAGCCCTCCACTTTCCTGGGCTCCCATGTGACTCCAGGTTTTCCCAGTCAATTTCTTTGTGATTAAAGACACCCCCAATCAGTAGCTTTGTCTTACCCACATGGGCCCCTCTGGCCACTTCAGCCAGTGTATCAACCATCTCTCTGTTTCATCAAATTTTTGTCTTGGCCTCCTGCTGTTCTGTGGTGGGTTATACATCACTGCAATCACCACCTTGGGACCTCCAGTCTGTTACATTCCTATTATGTAGTCCCTTGCTGCTGTCCCCTCTCTCCAACACTTCAAAATACCATTGGTTTTTGATGAGCAGTGCCACTCCTCCTCTCTGTTCCCCCTGCCTTTCCTCAGGATCTGATACCCAATTGGAAAGATGGCATTTGTTATAATTCCTGAGAGCTTGGTCTCTGTGAGAGCTATGATGTCTGGTACCACTCCTCTCACTTATTCGACATGTTTGTTGTGTGTCTGTACTCACCTGATTGTGGTTGCAGGGGTCGAGATTCAGCTCCTGGCCCCGCCTCTTCACTGATCGCTACTAGGTCCTCTCTCTCCCTGCTCCATGAGCTTTATCATACCTCGTCTTAAAGCCATGTATGGTTCCTGTCTCCACTACGTCACTTGCCAGACTATGCCACTTCCTGACAACTCTACGACTAAAGAATACTTCCTAACATCTCTGACTCATCTGAGTCTTCGACTTCTAATTGTGACCCCTTGTTTCTGTGTCCCATCTCTGGAACATCCTGTCTCTGTCCACCTTGTCAATTCCTCGCAGTATTTTGTATATCGCTATCATGTCTCCCCTAACCCTCCTTTCCTCCAATGTCGTCAGGCCGATTTCCTTTAACCTTTCTTCGCAGGACATTCCCCTTAGCTCTGGAACTAATCTTGTTGCAAACCTTTGCACTTCTCTAATTTCTTGACGTGCTTGACCAGGTGTGTGTGTGTGTGTGTGTGTGTGTGTGTGCACTGTACATATCATCCAAATGTTCCGTAGTCTCAAATTCCATCATTAATACTAAAACTAATAACAATAACCAGGCAGAATACTTGGTCAATATTAAACAAAAAAAAATCAAAACAGAGTTATCCAATTTTAAATATTACAGAGGTTGTCCAGTGACCTTAACAATGTTACCTGAACTAACATTTCTACTACAATATAATCAACGCCTGAAATACGTCACTATAATAATGATACGTCTGCTAATAATATTTTTTATTTCTACAAGTACATGTACAAGGTATACAGTCCTAGCTGACACCAATGACATTAATATACAGAAAGCCGCTTGTTATGCTGAACACTTCGGGCACATTAGGTCAGTTTTGTCGCAGGATGCGACGCACACTAGCCGACTAACACCCAGGTACCTATTTTACTTATAGGTGAAGATGGACAGCAGGTGTCTTAAGGAAACACGCCCTAATGGTTCCTAGCTGGAATGAAGGTGTACACTTGAGGCCTCAACCTGACACTGTACTGGCACTCACGACACTGTACTGGCACTCACAGATAACGAGGTCCAGTCTCTGATTGTGAAAGTTATGAAATTGTCAGACGATTGCGGAATTTTTTTATATTTTATTTAAAATACAATGCACAACGAGAACATGAAACCTTGTGACCATAACACGTCAGACCATACTGACATACAAAGTTCACCTATCACAACCCTGACATTTGGCATAAACACAAAGGTTAACAGTTACACTCACGATGAACATATCTCATATGAACAACTGAACGTTAATTATAATAGGGAAAATAACCTACACCTAGACCGGGCCGCGGGGGCGTTGACCCCCGGAACTCTCTCCAGGTAAACTCCAGGTAATAAACACAATACAATAACAATGCACACTCCTACACGAACACACACAATGCACACCATATTATTTATATTTTATATGAACTCGCACATATACATGGATAGGTACACAAGAGAAAGATACAAGATATGTGGTTATAAACACTGACTCAGCCTGACGCTATACCAGGTCACGAAGACACCATGAATAACACCAGCTAACCTAACAACCAAACCAAAAATAAATACATCAGCAACTAGTACAATGGTTACATCGTGCAATAATATAGACACCATGCCTCCTACCCCCACTAACCCCCTCCAATCCTAACGGAAAGGCAAAACCCATTGCCTCATATTTTGCACAAGGACACACACAATAATTAACCATAGACCCGCATGTTTTCACCGAACATCTCCAGTACGAAGGTGAACAGCCACCAACACTGACATCACAAGTATACACATTATACACACAACTTACACAAACAAAAAACCTCGACATCCCATTGAGAGCCACACCATATAATTCCTCAGTGGGGATGCCATAGACGTCGCGAATGATGGTAGGCAACAAGACATGCATCGTTGCACCACTGAGAGAGCCACGAATAAATTCCACACAGACCGTGTTTACTCTTCTACCTTGACGATCCGCCATCTTGCGTACTGTAGTACACGGTTCGCCACCAGGTGTAAGCAAGAGCAGGCTCAGAAAGCGTCCTCTCAGCCCGCAGGGTGAGAGACGAATCACACAATAATTAACCATAGACCCGCATGTTTTCACCGATCATCTCCAGTACGAAGGTGAACAGCCACCAACACTGACATCACAAGTATACACATTATACACACAACTTACACAAACAAATCATACTTTTACCAAAAGAAAATGTAATTTCACAAACATAGCGGCAACAGAGCCAATAAAAAACACAATATGTCCGTGTTATGTACCAGTTAACAAAACCATGATATAATGTGACAAAAATGTATCTCGACAAAATTCATCTCCACAAGACGGGCATCTCTCGCTATATACATTTATACACACACATACACATATATATAATGGTTCAATCTTCCCCGTACTTGCCTTCACATATCTAAACCGTCTAATTCCGCAGTTGCATCACTTGTATGCAATGTTTTAAATAAAATATAAAAAAAATTCCGCAGTTGTGGACTGCATAGTTAGAGAGGATGTGTGTGGTGGGGGAAGCATATTGTTAAAGGGGTGGAAGGGTAAGCCAGTGGAAGGCCTCGGTCAGATGACCAAAAGCTCCAGCTGTGGGTCATATAACTAACACCCGCGTCAGGAAACACTTGTCCTGTTACCTGACAAATATTACCTAACCTCCAAATGGTTTTAGATTAAATTACTGGCTAGTAGACAATAGCCATTACGTTTAAAAGTCTACCATTTTTATATTATATCCGACTGTTTATTCTGAAATTTTACTTTTCCTCTTCGCTGTGAGTTTGACGTGTTTGTCAGACAGCACTGATGGCTAGTTTACCACAATTTACAACTTCTAACTACGATAATGACCAGTTTAATGTCAACTTATGAAGCTTGGAGTATATAAGAATGTTTAATTAACATTATTTATGGATAGGAACTCTCATTCTGTTTTTTTTTCCGTAGTTTTAATACTAGTGCATGACCATAATGATGAGGGTAATTGGGTGAGTTAATTAACCTTGGTGGTGTATGTGGAGAGGTCAGGTGAGGTTACTAGGGATGTGAGGTCACTTGGTAGTGTCAGTTAGCCTCAGTGATCTGACCACTAAGCAAGTGTCTGCTGCTATAGTGCTGTTATTAAAGATAGATAAGCAGTGTTTAACCCACTTGTTTTAGGTTCACGAGATAATGTAAGTCTTTAACTTGTCTCGTAACGTTACTGAAAATTACTTAGTAAAAGTTTTCCCTTGGTTCCCGCTAATGAAGCTATTTATTCTTAAATGTTTTTTTGTCCCTTATTTCCTATTTATTGAAACTGTTCTATATAAGCTAGTGCAACACAGCTTCTGTATAACAAAGAAATTTAAGTCCTGGCTTACACGAGTTGTAAGCTCTTCAACCTTAAGTGGTTTATACTTCTAAATGTTAAATCTACCTGCAGAAATTTTTCTCCGGTGCAGAAATTTGTATGAAGACTTCTAACAACCGGTATTTAAGTAGCAAAATCACCAACGTTAAAAATTGCCATCAACAAAAACTTCTTAGAGGTTCCGTGAATTATGACCACCATGATGAACTACCAGACTAACAGCCCCGCCAGAAGATACGTGAGTACTTCATCTTGAATTCCTCTCCACTAAATTCATTAAGATTTATTAAGTTTATCTCTAACTCAAGAATTCTTAAACGGTTTAACGTAAACGTCCGTAATTACCTCTATAGTAAGGGTAAATATTACTGAATCAAGCTTTCCCAAACTCTCGAAACACTACAAACTTTATTTCCCCCCCCCCCGGATAAATTTAAGACTTTTTCAAATGTCAGTAAGGGAGTTTTAAACTTTATTAAAATAAAACTACCTTACCTCTAGTCTCTTCAAATCTTAAACAATAAACCTTTACTTCTGACAGAGCATGTTAGACGTGTCACTGGCACCCAAATGGAGGCCACGTAGTGCTTCCATGAGTGTGGTCGATGTTTCTAACTTCTCTTCTCACATCGGGTTAGTACTTAATTCTACCTATCCAGTCTTAACCTCATCTTCCCCACACCTGCCTCCACTCTCCCTGTGAATATGAACTTTAGCTTACCACGATAAAATCCAGTTCGCACAACTCTCATGTTAATGTACTATTTTTTTTCCCCCTTTAGAGGTATCATGAATAGACGACCAGCAACACCATGCACTACTCCATGCTTTGTCAGCCCCCGTATGGCCTTCACCAGTCAGTTCTCCTACGACTCTCCCATACAAGTAAGCATTTGAACAGTACTATCTATATTTAAAACTTTAAACACCGAGATTTTAAAACTTCTCGTCTCTGGCCAGGTACTAAGCAGTTCACCTCGCGCTCTGTCAAAGTTGCATAAATTTTCCCTAAGAAACTTGTCTCATCGCTGTCAAATGCTACTGATCTTGGTCTTCCTCGGCCTCGCTGCTACTCTCTTCCTCGTCAGAACTATCTCAGGTGAGGGAGATGAGTTAAGCGTAATTTCATAATTGCCCTGATAATGAATGGAGCTTTAAAAAGCTTTTACTTCAAAGTTGAACCAAACTTTGACTTTTCAGAGAGCAAACAGCATAATACGAACTTAGTGGAAGTGTGTGCTGAGAATGACCTCTCCTGCTTGGGTGGAGAGACTGCCACTCATGAACATCCCAGACTGCAGGTAGTGTATTGGAATCCTCTTAAAATAATTGTAGGAAGATATCTTTGGTTCTCCCTACTTAAGTTTTAGTACCACCACTTTTTTTTTTTTTTTTTTCCAGAGGTTCATGCGGGCAGTGGCACAGCCTCCAACTCTCGACAGTCTGTCGACAGACCCAGAGGATACTGAACTGGACACCAGTCGTGAAGAAAGACTATCACAAACACTCGAAAGTAACTCTTCAGAAACTGTCACTGAATACCAAAGTGAATATCTTCCTGACGGTGATGCCGGGGAACTACAGCCTCTGCCTTCTGTCGGTAACTTTGCTGCCTCTAGCCGAAAGCAACGGCTACCTGTAATTCAGGGAGAGTACTCTGACAATACACAGCAATACCCTGTGCATGGAAATGACTTTACCTCTCCTGCACAGCACTTAACCATAGATCATACTAATTACTTGGAACACCCTACTCTGCAGGGGGTAGAGTCTTCAATGGTACAGTATTATGGGGAAACTGAGGAACCTAGGCTCATAGACGGCCAGTTAAATTTTGAAGTGGATTCTGAGTCTCGCTATTTTAAGGATGAAACTAAATATGCGACAAAAGAGTATGAAAACCTAGATTCTCGGTATAACCTGAAGCTGATGCAGGATAATACCCTTCAGCTTAGCGAGGATAATAGGGCAAAAGACTCCAATCAGCGACAACACAATGCTTTGAGAGAAACTCTGGTAAGGGAACCACAAATTGAGTGGGAATGGAGACAGCCTACTGCTAATTCTTACCCCATGGACTCCCCTCAGTGGGAGGGATATTCTAGAGAAGCCTTAAGGCTGAATTTTGAAGAGTCGAGGGCACTTGCTGATCAGCAACAGCAGCGGAGGTCTACCAGATTTGTGACTGAGGAAAGACCTCGCCGCTTGCAGGAAAAACTAGCGCAAGAACACTTGCAAAGTTTGCAGGGACAACAGAGGATCCGACCAGTGTACTCTCCTGAAGAATGGCGAGAGGCCAGCGGAAGGCAGGTACACTTCAGGATACCTCCAGGCGTCAACCCCGCCAGGTACACTCGTCACGAGCTATGATTTACCTCTGGGTTTTATGTCCATTTACCTCCTTTGGGAGTTTAATTTTTAATATGTAACCACTTGCTAGTCATAATTTTACCGTAACTTCAATAAATTAATTTTATTATGCTTGTTTAAGTTTGATCCCTGAAGGAATCTCATTTAAGGATTGGGGAAGGGAAGTCCTTATGAAAGGAAAGAATCTAGTCTATTTGCATTAATCTTTCTTGATTATTCGCCTTGAATGTCAAAGTAACTGGCACTAACCTGACGCGGCAAGTTTTGCTGTATCCCTGATCTCGGCTGTGCTAGCAGACTTCAACCTTCCCACACTTTAGGATCTTCCCCTCCCCCCCTTAAGTTTAAAGAAACCACTAAAAATAGTTTAGCCAATTATGATAGCGTTGAAACGGCAGTAATCTTAAGTTTGTCACATACTCTTGCCTCTTACCCGAGGTCCTTAACGCAAGGAAGTAGCTACCTTTCTTGGCTCGCTCTCCTGGGTACTACGCGGTCTAACTTTAGCGCCCCCCCCCCTTTTTTCCCCCCCCCTATCTGCCCAAGAGCTGGAAAGCTATTACATGGTGTCAAGATCTTTAACTAGGCAATACTTTCAAAAGCGTGAGCGGCGACAGGCTGCATCTACACAGCTTTCCAAAACGGCCAGACGAAACTTAAGACTACGGTGGCTGATCTAATTTGTGTAGATGGCGAGGCTGTTCCTTTACAAGGGTGGCTACTTAAAGCAAATTGTAAGGTTCTTGATCTAAGAAACTGGCTGTCCTTGGCTTTAACCCGAACGTGCTGCAAGACTTAAACTTTTAGCGCTTCTTCATTCTAAGCTAACACAAATGAACCTTAGACGTTCTGGCCCTTGTGGGTTTAGCAGTTAACATTTTAATACTATAAGAGATTGTCATCTTGCAGCTTCGCTGAGGTACTCTAAATGGAACAGCCCTGCTCTAACCAGACTCCTAGAGTGCTGGCGCTTACGGGTTTAGCGCTTCCTCGTTTGGAATGGGATTGTACCAATGTTAAAACAGTAAAGATGCCTAACCTATAACATGCTTAACTAGAACCCAGCCTGGCAGTACATAGTGGTACTACCTCGTAGGTCAAATACTAGTTGGTACCATTACAGGTGTACCATGATTCTAGCAGTTTTCATCACATTAAACCTGCTCTTGCCTCTAACCTGAATACCTCCCATTCCATACTAGTGCACCTCCAGTGCGATGTTTATTCCTTTGCCTTGAGGTAATAAGCACTTGACATCGAGGAAGACTTCCCCTACACCCGGAGGGATTACTTTTTAATTCCTTTTAAACTACTGCAGTCACCCATAGTGGTGCTTTAATGTAATCCACCATAAACTAGCGGGTGTTCATCCTTGCAATGCAGAGATTAAAGACAGCTTCCACTTCCTAATTAATCAGTCTTGAGGCTTTAGACCTACATAATTTTAAGTACCTACTTTAAATGAATAGCTCTGTATGACCCTTGTGGGCTGAGCTGTTCTAACTTACACTTGGAAAAGAACAAACTTAAATCTTTTTCTTTTTTATTTGTGAAAGATAGTGCTGCCGATGGCACGGAAGACGGGTATAAACTGCTGTCAGGACATGCTGAGAGCTCCAGCTGTTGGCTCCTGTCAGGTGTGGAGTGATACAGGACAAAGCTACTTTCGGACTAAGATGCAAATTTTTTTTGACTACTTAAAATGTTTAAAAATGTGAAGGTAACTTTAAGGATAGCACACCCGGGGAAAGTTTCTAGAGACGGCCTGAAGGAGTAGGACCAACAGGTGGTGACAAATGCAGATGCAATATGCTATCTTGTTTACAGAGTTACTCATGCAGTTGGCTTTTTCAGGAGACTTTGGAAGCCCACTGCGTGTGCGAAACTGTAAAGGAAATCATATTTTCATCCAGTGTTGGTATTTTTTCCACTTGAGGACGGATTCTATATCGTGATGGTTCATAAGGGTGTTGGCGGCGTTGGTATCAAAAAGATGGTGACGGCCGAGCGTCCCGGAAGTGTGTGGATTCCGCAGATTCGGTGTGGACGGTCCAGGCGAGGCACTGACTGATTCGGTATACAGACTGTCCATCCTAGGCACAAGGGTTTGTGCTGCCGAAGAGCCCATTGATTTGAACGAAGTTCTGGACTTGGCAAGCCAATTCTTTGTAATCGTTCTTGAGGACATCCAGGGCGTATCTCAGCTTCTCCATCTCGCATTGTGAACATCCATAACAGAGTTGACTCACCCGCTGCTGATCCCTCATCAAATCTGGCAAGAAGAGAATTATTACTCGGTTTTCCAATGAAATAAGAGCTCGAATATAGTTGAAGTCTCCCATGGTGCATTATTTTCATTGGAGTTTTTCCCCCAGTGATACGACCACAAGTCGACTAACATTCCTTTACCTACTTATTGTGATGGTCAGTAGGTGCAGGAACTGTTCCATCTCGCCCCAGAAGTAAAAATAGATACTGGCTCATGAAGGGTCAGGAAGATGCACCTTGATGTTAAGGAAACTGTCTTGATTCAAGGGAATTAGCTATCTTTCTGATTACCTACCATATTCCACAGGAGCGGTGTATCCCTTAAGGATTTAGCACTCCATGAATTTAATAAAATAACCATACAATACCATGTGTGCTGTATCATGTTAAGTGAGTTACTCTTAATTTAGGTGTAGCAAATGCAGACTACACGAGGGTCTTTAAATATAGACTGGGGAATACAATGACTAATGCATCTCTCGAAAGGGTTTACGAGACCTTAATACCCTCGTATAGTCCATACACTTTAAAAGTTATAAGCAGCGATGATGGTACAAAAGTCACTCACTCTGCAGAGCCTTGCCAATGTTGTCGCAGGTACCAGCTTCTATCACACATTCTACGTAGAACTTGACTGTGGCGGGATTCTTCAGGTTGCTGACCAGCTCAGTGAGGGGCAGCTCTGTGAACGGCTGCCTCAGCTTGCGGATGGCATCAGGTACAGCAACTTCCTGCTGTGCCTGGGTGGGCTCTTGCTCCTGGCCTGCCACACACACTACAACGCACACCACACATGCTGCTACCAACACACGCATCTTTGCTACCTGTACAACATAAATGTTAATTTGACGAGGTTCGAACCTACTGGGAAGGGAAAAGTAATGATTAAGATTTTGATGGATGCTAAAAAATGGTTGATTTCTCTTAATTTGGAGTATCAACAGCACGAGGGTCATTAAGGACAAGATTTACCTGGTCAGTGACACTACTATAATGGAAATGAAGATAGTTCTTGGAATGCATATATGCAGTCAGATTTAAAAATGTGGGAAGTTAATTTATTCAGGTATTTGGTAGTGGTGTTGCCATCAGATGTTTGAAAGACGGGTCATAGAATAGTCGAGGGGAGTAAAGATAGATGGGGTGTCGAAGTATTTGTAAAAAGAATATCAGTACCATAACTGTTATATGGGTGTGAGCTTGGGTTTTCAACGTTGCAGCGAAGATGAGGGTAAAGAAAGTGGAGATGATGTGTTTGAGGGCAATGTGTGGTGTGTATGTTATGCAGATCATACTGAGCGCAGAAATTAGACAGGATGGGGTTAAGGTATAACTGATGTCAAAAAGAGGATTGTGATGAATGGTTTGAAAAACCGACAAGTTGAAGATTGAGACACTTATGCAGCATATGGGAATCTTTATTCAGGAAACGTTTCGCCACACAGTGGCTTCATCAGTCCAATACAAAGAGGAAGGCGTAAGGAGAGGAGGAGAATGAGGTAATCAGTCCTTCAACCTGGAGTCGATGTGTTCAGTCCATCAATCTTGTAGAATGTACAGCATAGGGCCGTAGACGTGGCTTATATACTGTAGTGAGGTGACGTGAAGCAGATGGAGGCGGGGTCATAGTGGTACCATCCACTAGTCGAAGTAGGTCTTCGTCCAAAGGTTGAACAAGTGTTGAAGAATTCTTTGTAACAAGACCCCATGATGCTGCCGTGTCTGACAGTTGTGATGAATGGTTTGAAAAACCGACAAGTTGAAGATTGAGACACTTATGCAGCATATGGGAATCTTTATTCAGGAAACGTTTCCCCACACAGTGGCTTCATCAGTCCAATACAAAGAGGAAGGCGTAAGGAGAGGAGGAGAATGAGGTAATCAGTCCCTCAACCTGGAGTCGATGTGTTCAGTCCAATCAATTCTTCAAGATTGATGGACTGAACACATCGACTCCAGGTTGAGGGACTGATTACCTCATTCTCCTCCTCTCCTTACGCCTTCCTCTTTGTATTGGACTGATGAAGCCACTGTGTGGGGAAACGTTTCCTGAATAAAGATTCCCATATGCTGCATAAGTGTCTCAATCTTCAACTTGTCGGTTTTTCAAACCATTCATCACAACTGTCAGACACGGCAGCATCATGGGGTCTTGTTACAAAGAATTCTTCAAAACTTGTTCAACCTTTGGACGAAGACCTACTTCGACTAGTGGATGGTACCACTATGACCCCGCCTCCATCTGCTTCACGTCACCTCACTACAGTATATAAGCCACGTCTACGGCCCTATGCTGTACATTCTACAAGATTGATGGACTGAACACATCGACTCCAGGTTGAAGGACTGATTACCTCATTCTCCTCCTCTCCTTACGCCTTCCTCTTTGTATTGGACTGATGAAGCCACTGTGTGGCGAAACGTTTCCTGAATAAAGATTCCCATATGCTGCATAAGTGTCTCAATCTTCAAAAAGAGGATTGTTGAAGTGGTGTGGGAACTTAGAGATGATGGAACAGATTATGATGCTAGTCTACAAATTTGGGATGGAAGGAATGACGAGCAGGGGACGTTCCTGGAAGAGTTGGAGGGGGGTAAAGCTTTTAAGTGTTGTGGGCGTGAACATCCACCAGACTTGTGCTAGCTCGTGAGAGTGGAAGTGGTCTTTATGGCTTGACGTGCTGTTGGAGTGTAAGATGCCATGTATGAAGGGATTCAGAGAAACTGATTAGCCGGACTTGAGTCCTGGTGGTGGAAGGTACAGTGCCAGGACTCTGAGGGAGAGGTGGAGATGCTCAGTCCAGAGAGTCATTTAGGTTTCGATGTCTGCACACTTCTACCAAGACAGCTATTTTTTTTCTGCGGGGAGGGGGGGGTCACCCTACCACAGTGGGAAACAACCTTTGTGTTAGCAAAAAAAAAAAAAAAAATGCCAGATCAGTCACAAGTGACAGTTCTTAGAGAAAAATGAAAACCAAAAAAATCATCAATGTTTTATAAAGGTATGGCAAAAAGAGCTTAGCATACCATTCTCTTTTGTCCATAAAGGGAGGTTCAGTGTTCAAAGTTCCTTGTTGTAACTAATTTAAATGCTGTGAGAGAGAGCAACACCAGCTTGCTACGACTGTCCTCCTGACACTCACTCGTCCAGTCGACCTTCCTTACACTCGCTCACCTAGTAGACCAAGGCTGCTTTTTCTGAGGTCGGATTTATTTCCTTATCCGTGGTCTGTACCTCACTATCATACGTTGTATTGATGCTGTACTTGTACTCGTGGTATACCTCACTATCTTACGTTGTACTCGTGCTATACCTCACTATTTTACGTTGTACTCGTGCTATACCTCACTATCTTACGTTGTACTAGTGCTGTACCTCACTATCTTACGTTGTACTCGTGCTGTACCTCACTGTCTTACGTTGTACTCGTGCTGTACCTCACTATCTTACGTTGTACTCGTGCTGTACCTCACTATTTTACGTTGGACTCGTGTTATACCTCACTATCATACGTGCTATCTTACGTTGTATTCGTGGTATACCTCACTATCATACGTTATTGATGCTGTATCTCTGTATTATACAGTACCGGCACTATTTCCCTACAAACATATTTTTTCAGAATTTGCCTCAAAATCCTAGTATTGTGCTACAAGTATCAACAGTACCGCAGGAAAGACACATTACTGAAATAGCCTTTATTGAACTCTGAGTTTAATAAAACCCTACAGTAGAGCGAAACGTTGCCACAATAAAGGCACGTCCAGCACCTTCTTCAACGAAGTGTTACGCTGTCTTAAATTAGGTTGAAGTGGCGGCTTCTCGAGATGTTTGTAAGTCTTCGAATATCTGGTTGTCTCAGTGTGGAAAGAAAAGTTGAATTTTTTTTCTGGGAAATATTAAACTGTCAGTTACTGTTAATAATAATAATACAAGTTCTTTGTAGAGCTTTATCAAGTTATGACTTGATAAAGTTCTACGAAGAATTAAACCTGAATGCCTGCCATCTCTCCCCCTCTACAGGCGCTGTATAATCCCTCCGGGTTTAGGGGTCCCCCATGATAATCTTCACAGTAAAACATGATAAAGCTCTACACAGAGTGAAACATGATAAAGCTCTACACAGAGTGAAACATGATAAAGCTCTATAGACAGAGTGAAACATGACCTGTGGCAGTGTTTACCTTACGGAGGAGAGGAGAGAGACCTGAACAGATGATCCACACTGCTTACTGAGTGCCTCAGCTGCCTTATATACACAAACATCTACACCCTCCCACCTCATGGGGAAAAACTGGCCTTAAAAAAATATGACCATGGAGCAGCGTAGCCTTCCCTTGTACTGATATTACTGTTCAGGTGACGACATTTATGTGGGTGACTTGTGTCAGATATTACACCGCCCAGCTTACTGCTCCTCCGCTATACTTACTGTTTTCTCCTATCTATCGTCTTCTTTTATGTTATCCTCTCCTCTTTACCCATTCCTGCATGTTGTTTTTTCCTTTTCTCCCCATTACGTATCTTTTTACCATCTTTCGTATGCCCTTACACTGGTACTGTCTCACGGAACGGACTACGCACCAAAATCTTGGAAACATTGACCAAGAGAAGACTTAGAGGAGATATGATCGGACTATTCAAGATACTCAGGGGATAATAACTTGTATGATTCACGTAGATTTACCAGTTACGTTTTAAATTAATATATATTTTGGGTAAAAGTACACTGAAAGGCACTGGACAGGCACCTAAAGTCAGTACCTGACCAACCGGGCTGTGGTTCGTACGTCAGCTTGCGTGCGGCCAGCAGTAACAGCCTGGTTGATCAGATCCTGATCCACCATGAGGCCTGGTCTCAGACTGGTCCGAGGGGGCGTTGACCCCTGAAGCCCTCTCCAGGTAAACTCCAGGTAACTGACATGGGAGGGACCTGAGTGATGGGAGACACGGGAACAAGTAGACAGGAAGCTTAGAGATGGAGGAGGCATACTCCACACACACAGCTTCACGACCAGATACGGCACATCCCAAGTGATTAATATTCCATGCGGATTTAGTGCTTCCCCATTAATAAATTAAAAAAAATAAACACATCCAATGAAACATTTTGGTGATGGATGAGAGGTGGGGTCCGAGAGCCTATGCTCAACCTCTGCAAATACGACAGAGGAGTATACAAAAGTTAGATACAGCAAAAGTAACTAGAGATGGGAGGATATTACAGTGGAGACTTAAGGAAGGAGCAGAGGACCTGTGTGACCCTATAACAACGACTCACCATAAAAAGAGTTGAAAAGCCGCCAGTATAGAAGGAAAGAGGAAGCAGTGAAGTGTACACTAGTGAGCTTCAGTGACTAGCATGACAGCACTGCTGACATGTCACTAGGAAACTGATACACCAAGTAACTAGCAAACTAGTTAATACACTCCAAGTTCTGCTGAGTTTTTATACATGGTTTTGCTTACTTACCGGGATTATTGTATTACCACGCCCACCCATCCACGCCTACCCATCCACGCCTACCTATCCACACCCATAGCCATCCACATTCATCCACCCACATCCATACCCACCCACGCCCACCTTCGTCCATACCCACCTACACCCACCCTCGCCCACACCCACTCTCGTCCATACCCACCCACACCCCCTCATCTATACCCACCCACTCACCTTCACATAATAGGCTGTTCCTGATGTCTGAGTCACGATCCATGACTCGGCGGTAATCCCCAGTCACCTGTTAAGCACCTGTCCGTCACCCGTTGAACACCTGTTCGTCTCCTGTTAATCCCCTTCTAACCACCAAACATTCTGATTTACTTACAGATTAACAGATTGAAGCCACCAAGACTAACAGACACAAGTTGAATCCCATTTAACAACAGGAACATCACTGAAGCAACAGGAACATTAATAAAGCAACAGGAACACCAATAAAGCAATAGGAATACCAGTAAAGAAACAGGAACATCAATAAAGCAACAGGAACATCACTGAAGCAACAGGAACATTAATAAAGCAGCAGACAGAAACATTAATAAAACAACAGGAACATTAATAAAGCAACAGGAACATCAATAAAGCAACAGGAACATAACTGAAGCAAAAGGAACATTAATAAAGCAACAGGCAGAAACATTAATAAAGCAGCAGAAACATTAATTAAGCAACAGGAACATCAATAAAGCAACAGGAACATCAATAAAGCAACAGGAACATCAATAAAGCAACAGGAACATCACTGAAGCAAAAGGAACATTAATAAAGCAACAGAAACATTAATAAAGCAACAGGAACATCAATGAAGCAACAGGAACCTCACTGAAGCAACATGAACATTAATAAAGCAACAGACAGAAACATTAATAAAGCAACAGGAACATCAATAAAGCAACAGAAACATTAATAAAGCAACAGGAACATCAATAAAGCAACAGGAACATTAATAAAGCAACAGACAGAAACATTAATAAAGCAACAGGAACATCAATAAAGCAACAGGAACATTAATAAAGCAACAGACAGAAACATTAATAAAGCAACAGAAACATTAATAAAGCAACAGAAACATCAATAAAGCAACAGGAACATCAATAAAGCAACAGACAGCCAATAAACTTACGCTTAACACTGACCAAACCTACTATATTAAGTTTGGTAGCAGAGCAGGAGATGCACAAATTAACATTAAGATCGACAACACACTAATTACCAGACATAATGAGGGCAAATTCCTAGGCCTATACCTTGACAACAACCTGAATTTCAGCACCCATATCCAACACATAACAAAAAAAGTATCCAAAACGGTTGGGATCCTCTCCAAGATACGATACTACGTGCCCCAAAATGCCCTTCTCACACTATACCATTCACTTATTTATCCATACCTCACTTATGCTATTTGTGCTTGGGGATCAACTGCAGCAACTCACCTAAAGCCAATAATAACCCAACAAAAAGCTGCAGTAAGAATAATCACTAAATCCCATCCCTGGCAACACCCCCCCCCCACTCTTCATAGATCTAAACTTACTCCCTGTTCAGTACATCCACACTTACTACTGTGCAATCTACATCTACAGGACCTTAAACTCCAATATCAACCTTGACCTAAAACGCTTTCTTGATAGTTGTGACAGAACCCACAGGCATAACACCAGACACAAACATCTCTACGACATTCCCCGTGTCCGACTAAACCTTTACAAAAATTCAATGTATGTCAAAGGCCCTAAAATCTGGAACACCCTACCTGAGAACTCTAGAACTGCATACACATTCATCACCTTCAAAACTACCATTAGAAAACATCTTATCTCCCTGATAAACCCCGTCAACTAACTACACGAACACCACCTGGTGGTTCACACTTACACTCACTCACCCATTTGACCATAAACAGAAATATTAATCTCAATCTTAAAATAATGAATCCTATGATACTCCAATACTGAAACTATGTACTGTGCCAAAACAAAAGCATTCACATTGCTAAATTCACAAACTAGTATTTAGTCACTTAGCCATAATACCAACTTACCTCATAATTTGTAATATTTTAAAATAAAGAATTAAACTAAGTCTGCCCGAAATGCCTAGCCATGCTAGGTGTTCTAGTGGTACACTCTGTAATTATTATTTAATTACATATAAACCACACAATAACCAAATTCTGTAAATTCAACATTGTAATCCTTATAGAGAATAAACTTTGAATTGAATTAAATTGAATTAATAAAGCAACAGAAACATTAATAAAGCAACAGGAACATCAATAAAGCAACAGGAACATCAATAAAGCAACAGGAACATCAATAAAGCAACAGGAACATAAATAAAGCAACAGGAACATCAATAAAGCAACAGGAACATCATAAAGCAACAGGAACATCAATAAAGCAACAGAAACATTAATAAAGCAACAGAAACATTAATAAAGCAACAGGAACATTAATAAAGAGACAGGAACATCAATAAAGCAACAAAAACATCAATAAAGCAACAGGAACATCAATAAAGCAACAGGAACATTAATAAAGCGACAGAAACATTAATAAAGAAACAGGAACGTCAATAAAGCAACAGAACATCAATAAAGCAACAGGAACATCAATAAAGCAACAGGAACATCAATAAAGCAACAGAAACATTAATAAAGAAACAGGAACATCAATAAAGCAACAGGAACATCAATAAAGCAACAGAAACACCAATAAAGAAACAGGAACATCAATAAAGCAGCAGACAGAAACATTAATAAAACAACAGGAACATTAATAAAGAAACAGGAACATCAATAAAGCAACAGGAACATCAATAAAGCAACAGGAACATTAATAAAGCAACAGACAGAAACATTAATAAAACAACAGGAACATTAATAAAGAAACAGAAACATCAATAAAGCAACAGGAACATCAATAAAGCAACAGGAACATTAATAAAGCAACAGACAGAAACATCAATAAAGCAACAGGAACATCAATAAAGCAACAGGAACACCAATAAAGCAACAGAAACACCAATAAAGCAACAGGAACACCAATAAAGCAACATAAACACCAATAAAGAAACAGGAACATCAATAAAGCAACAGGAACATCAGTAAAGCAACAGGAACACCAATAAAGCAACAGGAACATCAATAAAGCAACAGGAACATCAATAAAGCAACAGAAACACCAAATAAAGCAACAGGAACACCAATAAAGCAACATAAACACCAATAAAGAAACAGGAACATCAATAAAGCAACAGGAACATCAGTAAAGCAACAGGAACACCAATAAAGCAACAGGAACATCAATAAAGCAACAGGAACATCAATAAAGCAACAGGAACATCAATAAAGCAACATAAACATTAATAAAGAAACAGGAACATCAATAAAGCAACAGGAACATCAATAAAGCAACAGAAACACCAATAAAGAAACAGGAACATCAATAAAGCAACAGGAACATCAATAAAGCAACAGGAACATTAATAAAGAAACAGGAACATCAATAAAGCAACAGGAACATTAATAAAGCAACAGACAGAAACATCAATAAAGCAACAGGAACATCAATAAAGCAACAGGAACACCAATAAAGCAACAGAAACACCAATAAAGCAACAGGAACACCAATAAAGCAACGGAAACACCAATAAAGCAACAGGAACATCAATAAAGCAACAGGAACATCAATAAAGCAACAGGAACACCAATAAAGCAACAGGAACATCAATAAAGCAACAGGAACATCAAAAAAGCAACAGGAACACCAATAAAGCAACAGGAACATCAATAAAGCAACAGGAACATCAATAAAGCAA